GATATATTTTAATACTATGAAACTAATTTTATCTCTTGGTTAGTCTATTTTTTATTATCTAACCATAACTACTCACTATTCTAACTGACTAGGCCAAATACTTAAATTATAATTATAACAAATCGATGTCTCTATTTATTTTGATTAGAAGTCCTTAACGGATCGTGTTTGTTCAATGATTTGAGTAATTGACCTCGAAAGCTTACTGTGCATTTGTTCGCATAAAATTTTAAATAGTAAAGATCTATTTACTGTGTTGTTTGTTGTAAATTTGTTTTATAATTTACCCAATGTTCTCATCTTATCGAGATTATAATATAAGATTTATGCTTACAACTTTCTCGTGACATATAGTTTAAGGTCATCTAATTACAATCACTTGAAGTACAAAGCGCAATACAAAATGTGTACAATACTAATAATTTAAGTAACTATTTCACGTTTTAACGTTATCTTCCAAAACGAGGGATAAAATATTTTCTTTTATGTTTTTACCCTCCTTGGTTACTAGTAAGGAAGGAAGGTTGTAGAAATTGGTGTAATACCTATTCTAAACAGATATAATTATATAATTGAAACAACTATTTCTTAGAGATGTCTTTTGATATCCACCATTAAATTAATGTAATTCAATTTATTCCTTCAACCAATGTACTGATATTTTCAGATTTCTCGTATAGTCGAATGCGTCAATGTTCCAGTATAACTTCGAGATTATTCGAGTACACTCGAGTGCTTAACAACACAAACAAAGTGTTTATTATTTGGACAATAGTAATATAGATATTTTAGGTAGGTAACCAATAATCATGTAATACTAAGAACATATAGTTGCATTTTAAAAATAAAACTATAATAAAAAGTTGACAGCAACGTTTATAACAATATTACAAGTATTATAAATAGGGGTCGGAAGTTGTAGGAATTGCATATTGTTCTATATGTTTGCTCTAAATTTATAGCACGCCAAATTATAAATCTGAACTGTACAATGGAGAGTTAAAGAATTGAAAATTGAAAAGCATATTTTGTCAATTTTAGCTAAAAAGGTGAATATTTTATTGATTTTATATGCATATTATGCATATTTCATATTTTTCTTAAAAAATTGATATTTTCTTTCTTAACTGGTATATTTTAATTAATATTAAATATAAAACTAAAAATTTTCAACGAACGTATTTATCGTAATTTCAAAAATAATGAAAAAATATTTTTAATTTTATTTTTAGCTCAATAAGATGTTAAAATGCCAACCAGTTATAAATAGTTTCTATTTATATTATTATTTTATTAATTTATTAGGTAACAACATTTAATATATATTTTTATTTTTTTTAATTCAGAATAATTTTTTTGCTTATTTTGTAATTTTTTCGTACACATTTACATACATATTTTGCCTAGCTCTTACAACTTCCGAGCCATAATTATAAAATAAACATTTATGATTATGGATTTAAATTACATTCGGTTGGATACATTGATATAATTTAGCTAATAACCTAACTGTTCGCAATAATTAAATCATATAGTCACTTTCTAATACTCACTTATTATATATATTATTTTGGTTGAATGAGACATATTACTAACATATTACGATTTCCTTACGCACACTTATATCATATCTTATTAAAATAAATATGTATTAATTTGTTTTACACAAATATAAAGTATATCATTATTATATTAAATATTTGATATTTAAAATATTGCGTCTAAAATTTATCATATAAATATAAAAGTAACTAGACTGAATAAATAATTAGTATGAGAAACTTAAATTAATACGTTGTAGAGAAATACCGAAAAATATTATAATGTATTAGTAAATATAAATCATTTGTATAATTTTTGTTATTTTCAATAAAACCTTCAAAAACTCCATTAAGTATAGTTAAATAATAATTTATGTTAGTATTTACTTGTAAATATATCTTTATTGATTGTTGATGTAGTGCATTTTGTCTGCAACCTTCAATGGCGGCATAAAGTTATGTCAGAACGACAATAGTTGGTCTATATTGTATTGTAACTAAGCGAAATTGTTTTCTGTGCTCTCTAAACAATCATTGAAAACCAATTGTAGATTTTTTTTTTACACCACAATTGAAAGATCAAAAAGTAAAATTCAACTAATCATTATTATTTACAATTAATTAAAAGTAGGTTGCTCACCGTGATGTATTTTTTCTGTATTCCGCTATTGGAAGATATTGACGACAATTGCAATTTATGGCGTCTAATGAAAGTAATTCTATAGAAATACATACATATATATAAATATATATAACGTATATTATGATACAATTCTCTCATTCACTTAATTTTACGTTTGTATAATACATATTCATTTTTAAATAATGTAAAAATTCAACAAAAAATATTAATTTGATAATTGGATATTAATAAAAAATGTTATTTTAAAATAGTTTGAATAGAAATTAATATGGCTTAAAAATAGTTATTTAAAAACAGAAAAAAATATAATTCAATTATTTATTTTACAGGGTTTTGTAGTTTAATTATTTGTATTGTAGGAATTTCAGCATAAATAATTTTTTTAATTAAAACTACAGTTTAAAAATGTTATTATCAAACTTACTGACTTTAATGAAATTTGTATTTTTAGATTTTTGAAATATTACAAATTAATCCTGATAATTTATTTCACTAAAACTCAACGATATTTTTATGAAGTAAAAATATTAGTTGAATACTTATCTATTATACATTTATAAAGATATAATATAATTATTTACTTATTTTAAAAATGTATTAATACGAAACTAATAATTAAGTTATAGTTAAATTAATGATTGTTAGTATTTTATAATTAAAAATCAATATTTTATACTTCAAGTTGATGTGATTTTCTTATCAAGTTCAAAAAGGTAACATTCAGTTTAGATTAAGCTAAATTAATTTTAAAATATTGTAGCTAATAACATTATTGATATACATTAAATATGTAAATATATATTTAATTATATGACCTAAAACAGTAAGAAATATAATTTTTTTTTCAATTTAACGATAGAAAGTTAATTTTTATTGTAAATATTAATTATTCAGGTTCAATCAAAAAATGTCATAAAAAAAAAAAAAACCTAAATTTGTGTAGAGTAGTAAATTAGCGTGGAAATGTAAAGGTAATGAAGTATAATAATATACAAAACCTGGTACCAAACGTTGAAAATGTTAAAAGATTTATTTATAAAAATATATTTAAAATTAAATATAAATATTGTAATAAGATACACTTTATCAAAATGTCGATAATCTCGACAAGTTGGATCTTAATTTTTTTTAGTTATGTAATAATTGTATTATCATTATTATAGCTTAAATTACTTTTTCTTTTCATGAAATATATTTAGCTTATTATCATTATTATTATTATTATTATTTTTTTTTTTTTTTTATCACGTTTGATGAACATATAATTAAAAATAAAACAATCTAACTTTACTTTGGCCTTAAGAAAAAAAAAAAAGCCAAAAAGTCACTTAAATTAGTTACTTTTAACATTCTCTGAACTCTCATAATATAATATACGTATACCTTTAATAACCATTGTTTAATTTTTCACCGACAACTTTGCACCAAGTGAAATCTGGAACTTTTAATTCAATGGCTCCGTGTTATAAACGCAGACTTAATTCAAGTTGTATCAAATTACTTAATAACTCGTTTTGAACTTAAGCGATTAAATATCTTGGAACAATCCGAATTATTCGGATTGTCGTAATTATTAATGAATATATAAATATATATATTTAGTTTATTAATTGATTTAAAATGCTTATAACTTAATACATAGGAATATTTTATTTATAAATTATTTTTTATTTAGGTAAAATATTATAAGGCACATACATTAAATTATATTTCATCACGAAGTCAGAAATTGAGGACGCTTTTATAACATAATTTTATAATATTACTTTCATTGAAATAACTACATTTCTAAAATATTAATTACTGTTGTCCGCCTGTCTCTTGTCATTTATAATATTGAAAAAGTATTGAAGAATCATCTCATTAAACTTGTGTAACCTTTTAATATTTTTATGGATGCATTTGTGCAGTGTTAATTGGATCAGCCAAAGTTTATTATTTCTCTGGTTAATTGTGACGAATGACTACAGTATTTAAATATATTATTTTGTAATATTTATGGACTAAGTCGTACAATATGTTTACCATAGCGAAAAGAATTCTGTATTATTTTATACCCACCGGTTACCATGCATGTTTTTACTATTTTTTTGATGACTCGGTTTTATCGTTCCATTCAATCATCCAAGTATTGTCCAATACAGTAGCTATGAAATTTGATTATATACGTAATGCATTTTGTCTTTTTTTTATTGTATTACCATTTCTTCTTTATGTTTTGAATAAATCTTGTCTTGAATTAATTTTTTTTTTTTTTATTACGTTGAAGTGAAGAAAACTTATCAACGGTAACGATTTTAATTTCATATAGTGATTATTGAAGTGGCACAATTGAGTCAAAAATAATGTATTATAGTAATTGTAATGTAATATATTTAAACTATTATTATTATATTTTGAATAATGGAAAATTCAGAGGTTAGAGGTGTATTATACAAAAGATCAAACACCATTTCAATAAAATGTAATATTTCTTTAATAGTTATAAGTTTAAATATGTTTAACTCGCTTTATAAACATTATTCATTCCAAAAACCATACGTAAATTTCCATAACCACGTTATTTATTATTACCTAGTATCTATAGTATTTAATATCATCAATATTTCATATATTGTATATTTGTAATTGTATTTTTATTTTTAAATCCTGCAGTAGAACAAATAGAAGTATTTAAGAAAAAAAATATTACTCGGAAATTCACATAAGGTTAAGTATATTTTTTTTAAATTATGGTTTAGAGTAGGTATTGGTATTAACTGTAATAATGATAATTATAATAAAAATTTTATCTAATTATTGATGTTATTATTGAAGTATTGACAAAATATATTATAACTATTGTTTAATATTTTGACATATGTTTAAGAGTAATGTTGATTTGCGGAGTAAACAAATACATTTTTTATCGGGAATGTAAAATTTACATTAGAACTAAAGTGGAATACAATTAACTATGCTAAAATTGTTTTGAATACTAAAATGTATACTTAAAGTACAATTAGGTTAAAAAAGCACTGGTGTGGATGTGAAATTTAAACAAATTATGAATTATACAATGAAGCGAATGGTTTTAAATAAGAAGAGTATAATATAATATAACTTTTGATGAAGAGTTCATTTAATTCACATCGGAATCGTTGTGGTATTCTGCATTCAAGGCATTCTGAAACAAATTTTAACAATGAAGGATTAATATTAGACTTTTTGTTTACATGAAACAAAATAGGTACCTATTATAACAAGAAATAATATATAGTAATGAAACTCAACACGGGATAACAGGATCACATGGAACCAACAAAAATACAATTTTAAGACAAATTGCATGAGTGAAAAGGAAAATCCGTCAGGTCAAAATACATTATTTGTTTATAGCAAGTTATTATAACACTAGGTATAGTAGTTTATAGTTCAATAAAATAAATTATAAAATAATTTTATGTCCAAAATCTGTTAAGCAATATACATTTTTGAACAATTTTGTTGTATGGACATAATATTCCTGTATCATTTTTGGCTATGAAAAAAAAATCACTACATTTACTTGATACAAATAAATGATGAGCTAATAACATGAAATATAATGTAATATAAAGTTTAAAATTTAAATAAAATATAAAAATATAAATAATATTTAGCATAAATATTTTTTAAATAATGAGTATTTAAGCGTATTAGAGTTTTGTGTCTAATATATTATTAACAGCGGTAAACTCGATTAGGTATATCTTACAGTTTTACTTTAAAAATAAAAAAATAAAATCCATAATCTAATATTTATATATTTAAATATAAATTTATTTTAATTTTATATACCGTATTTTATACCTTATAAAATGATTATTTATTTTTAAAACTGTACATAAGAGTAATAGAAAATGATAATCAGTGTTTATTTAGATAAATAAAATTATCCTATATAAAGAATATGATGTTATGTTGTATAGATACACCATAAACAATAAGCCACATAATAATGACATGACGTACATACATACGATTTAGTTTTGCTATTATGGTTTATAGATTTATAATTTATTTTTATTTTATTCATTATATTTTTAAACAAAAAATATAAGTTTATAATAACATTAAAATTTAATCCTAAAATTTGAATGAAACAATATTGTATTCTAAATAATTATTTTAATAGAATAATATATTTTATTTGTTACTCATTATTAGATAAAGTGTATTTAAGTTATTAAAATGATTTTTTTTTTTTTTTATCGAGATAAAAAGTATTATATCTTTTAAACTTATATCTAGATAATTTAAATAAGTATTGACCATCTTTTATCAATATCTAGATAAATTTTTAGTTATCGTTGCGCAACACCGATGATGCTAGATTATGTCAATATATAATATATAAATTTAGAAATAACTCAATATAAATTGAAATCCCTTGAGCAATTATAACATGACAAAATATTAAGACTAAAAATGATGAAATTGCTCTTTGAAATGTTGGATGAAATATAAGTATGTGCAGGTCATTTCTTACGTTTGTACGTAGCTTAATTTTAAATTAGATTGCACCATGAAATTAATGACAATTAATTAATAGTTAAATAATAGTGTATAATGATAATTTGTTTAAAAAACCAGTTATTATTTGTAGAATGCTAATTCATGTGCTGCAATGTTCTGATTTTTATTTGTATTACTGTATGAGAAAAATACATAAATAAACATATTATATTGTGCTATAAAAAATAGCAGTAAGTATTAATCTCTAAAAACATATTTTTATAATGAAGTTCTCACGTGGCTTAAATAAATAATATGTATCATTAATTAATGAAAAAAAAACAAAAATATTAATTACATACATTTTGCAAATTAAGAACATCGACTCGTACAAAAAAATACAGGTGAAGTGAACTACCTTCGTAGGTACTTGTTTCAATTTAATGACGATCAATCGCAACGGGTGTGCGTGTTTCGTGTTAAAGCTTTAGTTTATTAATAATGTTGATATAATCTTACATTTTATAAATTAACTATGTGCTATCTATTAAGTTTTAATCAGTTTATTTTACGAATGAAACATATTTTGTTCAATCGCAGACTATCATATATTAATTAATTATACGTTTATAACGGAATCACTCAATTTCAATCATATTATAGCATCATATTATATTAGTTAAAAATTATCATATTATAGACTCTTTTTTTTAAGAGTTAAATTATGCTAGAAAACGAATAAAAATATTTTATTGTCTCCAAATCCAATTCATGGTCTTAAATAATGAAATTAACTAACTCTAAACAAATAAAATAATAAATTCATTTATATAAATACCTAATAAGCTAGGTAGTCAGTACATATTTCCACGAAGTCAAACGGAAGCCATTCGTTCAAAAAACTTATGAGACAGAGAAATTAAAAATGGTAAACAACAAGATAGAACTACAATGCGTTAATTATACTTTCGTTAATGAGCTTATTATTTTGATATGTTTATTTTTATTTTTACATTGTTGAGTGTATTAAAATAAAAATTAAGGCAGCGCATTTTGTTACAATTTAAAATTCAAAAATTAGAACATATTACATGACAGAGATATTTTAAATGTAATTTTAAGTAAAAAATATTAAGTATTTTTCGCACAGAAAGACGAAAGGGATGCCAAACAACAACGAGATAACTATGTACATAGTTTGACGAGTCATAATAATGACAGAACTTGTTTCATGGAATTATATACAGCATATCTTATTACCACAATGAGTAAGTATGATTTAAAATTCAACTACGGTAAATATTATTACTCGGCAGTAAAATTGTATATACTTTGCGTTTACCGTTACGTTGTAATGTTTTTCCTTCATTATCGTGGGGCAGAAGATGTGTATCGTAATTGTGTTTGACACGTGAAAATAAATCACGAGAAAAATGTCGGTACCTAGTCCGACTCTAGGGACACGAGACGTAATTCAAACTTCATTGACCAATAATACGTATTTTATTTGTCATCAAAACTGCGTTCAATAATATTATATTTTTGGATTTTATTACATGCATTTATATAAACTTAGAAGATTTTCGTGTTTTCAAAAATCATATTTAAACACCAAAAAATAACATTGTAATTTAATATAACACATAATACCATAAAAACAAGTCATATTTGACATTTTAGAAAGTTTATAATTTGGTTGTTTGGTAGTAACTTTTACGGATGAAATTAGCATTAAATAATATAATACAGATATAGAATATATTATATTCGTATATTTAGTTTAACTTAATAAGCATACACTTTAGGTAAACGAGTATACATGGTAGATAATAGGTTATATAGGTTTATACATGCATAATAGGTATATGTTTAATAATTATAATTATAATGCTTACTGAAAATATTTTAATAATATTACTACGTGTAAAATAAAATATGTACATACATCAAATACGATTTTATATTCTCAATAAATTATTATTATTCGATGAATATAAAATGAATGGACGATAGGTTCTATTTTTCAATTTGTTTTAAATTCTTTTTTCTTTATTGGATTCAATTATTCTACATATTTTGTATTATTTTGAATCTCATAAAAATTTATTTTATTACGTTTTTATTACAATAAATGATTGATTTATAAGTGTTTACAGCAATTATAGCATTGAAGGTATTTGAATATTAATTAAAGTTTACATACAAAATGTATGATAAATTGTTATTTATCTGTGATCATTAAACCATTCGAAATAAAATCATGTATATTTGATTGTAAAAATGAATATTATGAAAGTATAAATACAGAAAATAATAATTCTTCTTTAATCATAGTTTTTAGTATATTTTTTTTCCCCAAGTTGTAATAATTTTAAAAAATTCATCAAAACTACGGTTATATTTAAAGGTACTATAATTAGTAATCAAATACACATTATTTTGGAAGTATTAATAGACATTTACACTCTAAAAATAAAACTAAATATGTGCTTAAACATTTTTACTCAGAATACGATTTATACGTATAGATAATTATTTAAGAAAACTTTACGCAAGTGGGGTCGAATGGCACTTCCTTTTTTCAAATCGCACTCAAGTTAACAAATATTGTACTTGAATTGCACTACAGAAAATTACCCACCCACGGCAAAACACCACTTAAAACTTTATTTGCGTGTTTTTTTTTTTATAAAATATATGATTTTTATCGTTCAATTTCATGTAAAATTAAAGCATTATCACATTCACTTTTAGCGATATTAAAGTTACTTGACAAAATAATGATCTCAAAGAGACGGATGACAGTTCACTAAATTATTATAGATTTATATACTCTCAAGTCTAATCAAGATAATATACGTATTTTTATCATGTCAATATAACATAAAAACGTTTAAAAAAATGTTGATAAGCTGTATTAATCGTTACTACCACTATCGACATAAACAAATTTCACTGCGGTCTATTGAAGATGCATCTAGAATCACAAGACATATCCGAATACAAAGCTGTGAAGACAAAATCTACTAAACATAATTTGATGTCGGGAGGCTTGCTGCAAGAGGTGCTTAGGTATCCCCTTATCGGCCTTATCAACATTTTTTAGTTTGACGTTTTACATTTGTTATTATTTTTAAATCCATTATATTATTTATATCTTTACGACCATTCTTAATACCAGAAATAACGGTTTGCATTTAGATACCCACTCGACTAATTATATAGGTACATACAAAAATAATCGAAAAAACATCACAACAGCACACTAAAGACGGTCAGATCAAATAAATGGATGCCGTAAACATTATAATATATTCGTGTGTCAGAGGATCGACATGTACATTATTTACAGGAGGTGTTCTTATTTGCATTAAGACCGTCTGCGCCCTCGTTGACGACGAAACCTGCAGAATCGTTATCGTACAATACGTACCCAATGGCTAATATAGCAATATGCATGCTGTATATACATATTGTTATATACGAGCGCATACACTAACAAAATACAGGGACGACCGGGGTCGAGCACAGGTAACAATATATACTATGGGTTAAGCTATGTATATATAAACACGTAGTTGAGGGTGGCTGCGTGTATAATATATTATATATTATACAGTTGAGAGAATTTCGAGTGGCGACGAAAGCGCGTTTACTGCAGTGACTTGTGAATAATAAAATTGCAGTCGA